CCACACAACACACACAGATACAGGCACGATACACAAAAGTGGTCAATCAAACAGGAATTTGATTTTTTTTTTCCCCTGAAATTATTAGTTATAGTTATGTCTTGTCTTTTCAGTTGAATGTACATATATGGGTTTAATATATATATTTTTAAAGGACGTAAGTTGTGTCCTTTTAATTTTTTACTCTTTGTATTTCCGATAATACATTGTTATAATATGAAAGGTTATTTTTTTTTTCACTTTCCACGTTAGTTAACATGATTGAAGAGAGAAAAAAAAAATTCATATTATAACTATATATCACCGAGAATATATTCTATCAATATATGGGTAGTTGTTATATTATATCAACCAATTGTCCTTACCACTGATTAGTGGTTATATATATGATCGTTACACCAAGCACAATTGTTTTTAGTGTTGATTTACTACCACCTCTTAGATTCCCTGCCCCCTGATCTCTTCTTTATTGGAAATATCAGCTGCTTAATTATGCACCATTGTTTAGCTTCTAATTGTTTGATTTAATCATTACCAAAGGCCCATCTTTGTCTGCATTACCAAGAAAAGTAAGTAGATATCTCATCTCACATTTCTATGATTGGTGCTTGAATAATAGAAAATTTGTAGTGATTCAGGATTATTGAAAATTGGGTGATTTTTTTCTTAAAATGAAAAAAATGTGTTCTATTTAAATCTTTTTTTTTTAATTCCCTCTCAATTTCTTCTTTATTTCTTTTTTATGAAAAGAGTGTGGTGCTCCTAAAATATTTATTCTTTTAAAGAATTTAAAATGACATATAATTATATCTTTTAAAAGGATAGATGTTTTCCCCTTCTTTTTATATTCTTTTCTTTTCTTTTTGATAAAAAATAGCTACTCTCATTGCACTTAAAATGTGCTCCACAAAGGCAAAGGAAAATATATTATCCTAAGTAATTACAGTGTTGCCTAACTCAAATATCTGTGTTTATTTTGAAGCTAATTAGTTGTTACCCTTTGAGGGGTAATGGAGACTGGGGTCACATTGTTATTTTACATTCCCGAGAAAAAGTGATAACCATTTGCAGCAAGCTAGCCACGTTGCCCAACAACAGAAAGGTCTGGTTTTTCCAGAAAAATCTAGTATACTCTCAGTGTACTGTCGATGGAGGTGAAGGGAGAGCCAGTAGTATTATAATAGGGAAATTAATTTAAAAAACTCTCAAATTGCATTGAAGGATATTTTGATGTTTTGGAGCAACTGAGTCATAGATCCTACACTGCCGATTCTCGTGTCCTTAGTAATGTAAGCAAGCACATGCCCTTGCCCTCAATCTCTGATATTGGCCAATTGGAAATTTTGACGTGCAAATGTTGACGTGCATGTGACCCTATAGATGGAGCCATGTTTGGGTGCCGACATGGACTTTGAGAATATGGTTAGGCCCCTCTCTGTTTTCCACTTTACTTATAATCCATCTGACACGTTGCATTCTGTCACACAGAGACTCAGTTGCATTTTGTGTCTAATGTAAAAAAAAAAACCACAAAGTAAAACAGTCAAATTTCAATGATATCGTACCAATTATAAGATAGAGTATGGTTCACATTCCTCCAAGTCTCTCTTTCTCCATCTCTACTCTTCCCGTTACATCAAAGAGAGACATTTCATGATTGGAAGGATTTATCAAATGCATGATTTAAAAAAAAAATTGATAACAATATATTTCCTTTTGGTAATAATAAAAATAATAGATAATATTATCATGTAAAAATTTTGTGTTTATTTTTCTATTCATACATATTAAATAGATGAAATCTTATTAAAATTTGTGAATATTTATAAAGGGTGATATACATACAAAATTTACATATGACAAGGACAATGTCACGTAAAATTTTGTCATGAGATAAGACATTTCCACTTTTACTTTGCTTTAGTCTTCAAATAAAATAAATTCGTCCATACCTTGGATATATTTCAAAAGGAAAACTAATCAAAATGTATGGAAGGAAAAAATAAAATTTAAGCCAGATATATACTTGAGATATTTTCTCTGATACCACCATGAGCCGCGTGGTCTTCTCTTCAGCATAAGCTTTCAATCATGGAAATGTCATTGCTATATCAGTATTGACAATAATTGACGGTCTTGTTGCCTATAAATTATGAGCTAGCCCTCCAATTTGCCAAATCATATTCTTTCTTATACGCTGAAGCTAAACTTGATTGTTCGTAGCTAGGTAGGTAGCTATTTTTCTTACTATACTTAACAGCATCCTTCTTGCAGATATAATTCCTCTTCATATAACTAGTCTCTATAGTGTGTTTAATTTCTCACATGTTAGTATATGTTTATACTTCATATGAAGGTTTTTAATTTTTCCAGTCATTTTTGACAATACATGACATCTGAACCTCCGGGCATCATGCACGTAACACCTTTCTCTTCAACCACTTTGACCCTCATCAAGAATTCATCGTAATCTGAAGCTTTGATATATAGCAAAGCTGATTGAATCTTCTCTGGAGCCCGTAAATGTAGCAGTCTGGCACATCAGTTGGAGCTTGCATGTTAGTGAAAGCACAATAGAAGTCTGATAACTTGTTAAAGGTCCCCAACCAGGTATCTAATTAACCAACTAGCATATATACTTTATTATTTTTGGTAAAAGCTTCAACTTTGTCCTTACTTATGGAGCGAGGGAGGGACAAACATTGTCCATGGCTCCTTTCTAAATTTTGATTATTTTATTATTATATTTATAAAATATATTTATTTAATAATAATAAATTATTAGCATTAATAATTAGTCTCTCCCTAAAATTATTTATGATTAATAATTAGTTCATCTTATTATTCTTAATAATGTTTTAATTTTATTTTCCCCATCACAAAAAATCCTGGATTTGGACATGCTTAATTATAATGAAACTTTTAAATTCAATAGTCAACAGATCGATTCACAAGGTTTGACTATCTGACCAATAATTCTAGCTAGCTAGATGTGACCCTGTGAATGTGTCAACTGAAGATCTAATTATCTTATATAATCTGTCAGCCACAGGTGTAGTTTGTAGGATAACTATAACCTCCATTAGCAATGACTCCTGGTATACCAATCACTTCCCAAAACATGGTGTGCTCCCCATGTTCTTCATTCTAGTGGAAACAGAAAAACAAAGTTTTCTTATTTATTTATCATCTGCAAAAAGTTGTGTTCTTTTGACTAATTAAGAATCTGTTCCTTTCCATTTTCTTCTTCTTCTTCTTTATTATTCTTATTATTATTTTATATAATAATTTTGGGAATGGGCGGTGTGAATATAATAGCTAGTGATCCACTGCTACATGTGTTATGTATTTTTTTTTATAAAATATTTCAATCGGTTAATTACTTCGCGACTAGTCTGATTTAGGACGGATTTCGGAATTAAGATTTTAAATTCCTTCCAAAGATAATACTGGAAAGGATCAAACACATATTCTTATCCATCACCTACTTAGTTTCCTGTCACCAACTGAGCTACCATCATTATAGTTATATGTATTTATGTTTTACTTCAATTTGAGCACAAGAAAACATATATATTTCACTCAAAGCCTTGTATCAATCAAATCCAAGTGGAGTGAGCCGATAAAATACTTCAAATCTAGACACTTCCAAGTAGTACAAAAATTTATCATCTTATGGAAAAATCCGAATCCAACCTCCATTATTAACACGCACAAAGACAGGTTTGTTATTACCGTGCCTTGTCGAAGTTTCTTTGTAACGTTTGCATAGGTGGAGACGCAAATCTTTTTATTCCTAGATATATACGTACATTGCCGATAAAGCTAGCCAGCACATACACACACACATATATACTGATTTGTTTCTTTGTAGTCGTCTTGTGGAATTTGAACTCATAAATCAGCAAATATGGTTTGGACCACCAAGTTATTAAAGGAACGTGTTGCTTTTTCGAATTTGCTAGGAATATTTTTTTTGGGAAATTGTCTAATCTACTTTTGCTAAATTAGAAGATTTTGGTAAGTGGATATATATAATCAACCCCCACAATATATGGACTGAATATAGCTTGAGTGGGTCTTCAGCCCCTAAATGACCACCACTTAATTAAGCATATGCTTATAGGAATAAAATACTTAATCTTCTATCTTCAGCAATGAGAATAAACATTTATTCCTGGGGTGGGTACATGGTAGATCCGAAGATTTAATACAATGATATAAAAGATGAACTATATGGGAGTAACGAGACTTCATAGGGATTAAAACCTGGCATCGAGTGCTTCCTAAGAAAGCCGAGTGACAGTAGCTAGGTTACATTGTCTCTTGCTATAGGTATTAATCGCTCTTCTACCCTGTAATCTTCAAAAAAATAAATAAATAAAAAAGACTCTTCTACCACTTGTCTTATATAGCTATTCTTTTTGCCTATATTATTGCAACAATAAAAGCAGTTATGGTGCTGGGCTCTAATATTCTAAACTATTTGTTTTCCTCTTTACTTTATTTTATTTTTTGGTAGAAATTATTATTATTATTATTATTATTATTATTAAAAATCTGAACAACACAAAACAAGTAATTTGAAAATTATTTCAGGCTTGAGTAGTTGAATTTCTTTGGCCATGAGTAGATCATGTTTGCTGAGAATTGAGGATTAAATTATACAATAAACTATAAAGGGAGTTGATATTATTTTATCACTACAAAAAGTCATATACTCAGTTAGAATTTCGAAGTGCAATTCGAAAGAAAAATATAGAAAAGATAATAATAAAGTGAACATATCAACCTGTCTCAACAAAAAGACATGTAACTACCTTTGTCTCCAAAGTCTAAAACGTTTTCATCAAAGACGAAATAAACAGAAAAGACATAGTAATCAAAAACCGGTTGTCCTTGTCTCTTTTTGTCTCTATTAATTTCTTCGAAGAAAACCTCCACTCGTTTACTTTTTCTTATAACATCCCCAATTCTTTTCTCTCAGCAGCTAACAGAGTATGGACTCGATTTCGGACCCACCCTTTCACAAGGCATACAAGATCCTGTTCGAGAAGACCCAAAACAATGAAGAAAACGATCTTGATAGTGAGCTCGTGGTGATTGAGGAATGCGAGCTTCCGGTGATCGATCTGAGCCGTTTAGAAGAGAGTGATCAAGTGGCGAGGGAAGAGTGCAAGTCAGATATAGCTAGGGCTTCACAGGAATGGGGTTTCTTCCAAGTTGTAAAGCACGGGATTTCGAGTGAGATTTTCAGCAGGTTGAGGTGTGAACAAGAGAAGGTGTTCAAGCAGCCCTTTGATAAGAAGACCAAAGAGGACAAGTTCTTGAACTTCTCCGCCGGTAGCTACCGTTGGGGAGCACCCAATGCCACATGCATTAGACAGTTATCTTGGTCTGAAGCATTTCATATTCCTTTAACCGATATACTAGGGTCCAGTGGATCAAACAATCTTAGGTATATATTCGCTAACTAATATATATATAAATTATGTTATTCATTCTTGTTCTTGTTCTTAGTTCTTAATTTTGGATATGCATTATTTTTTATTGCTTATATATTTGGTTTTAATTGCCTCATATTTATGGTTCTCAATATCAATCTAAATATGTATAATTCACTTTTTCCAGATGCTGTTCTAAACAAGATTGATTTATTTTTCTCTTTTATATATGTGCTTGTATATCATATACAATATAATATATAGTTTTACATATGTTTATATTTGCAAATTTTTTGTTTATAAACTATATTAAATATGACCAGTCATACTTCAATCAAGAGTGTATGACTTATCATACTTAATGTAATTTGTAATAAAAATTTGTAAACGGATCTTTCCTCTATATTACATGAACAATTTGTAGTTTTTTCTTCGGTAGAAAATAAAGTTTGTTCACGTATATATGTTTAATTTAGTTTTTAACAACATAGGATTGGTATTTAATTCGTCAAAAGTACACACGAATATTGAAATTCTTTGGTGGAAGCTAATTCAAATCTCTATTAGTTCTTTTCCAATAAAGTAAATGATCATAGTATTTAATTTTTAAGTCAAATAAATAGCACTTAGTCATGAATTCCTTTGGATTTTTTATTGGGAGGGAGTTATGTGCAACCTTATCGTTTTTAATTCCAATCTCTGCAACATTTGTTAGGACCATCTCACACTGGCCCCAGAGTTGACACATCAAGACCTAGCTTGTCCTCTTTTTTTTTTTTTTGACCTTTTCATTAACAACCCTGCAATTTTCATTTGGCCCCTCATTCATACATATGCTCAAGTACTGTCATTCTCAAAGAGAGCAGCACATCTTTCTGCTTTCACAGAGCAAAGCAAACACAGGTCTAGTTGATGTTTTGTCAACTTCTCCTGCTACCTCCATCACAGGACTCGCTTAAAATTGTTCAGTTCCATAATGTGTGCTCTTACTTTACTCTTACATACATTTCAATTAGTTGCATCTTATTAATTAATTTACACTCTAAACCCACATGACATAGACATGGCTGTTCTCCTAGCCCCAAACCAAACTTGTTCACACAATTTTGGTATGCACATGGCTTGCTATTTTTATGGTTCCCCTGACCTATATATTCTGTAGTTTCTCACGTGAATGTTGCCAATCTGCTGGAGCCGAATACTCATCAGGCATGGCAGACCGCAGACAGCATTCAATCAATTAATGATTGAATTTAAACAATAAACTATATGTAGATTTTGTTATGACCATATTAATTAAAAATATCCCTTAACTTTCACTTTGTTACCATAAACAAATGTAATAAACCAATCCTGATTAATTTCTATGGATGCATAAATGTTTGCAGTTCATCAATCGAGCAGTTTGCTACCACAGTTTCCAGCCTCGCACAAACATTAGCTGATATCCTGGCAGAGAAAATGGGTATAAAGTCAAATTTCTTTGAGGAGAATTGCTTGCCCAACACCTGTTATCTTCGACTGAATCGATATCCTCCGTGCCCCATTGCTTCTGAGATTCATGGTCTGATGCCACATACTGATAGTGACTTCCTCACCATATTGTATCAAGATCAGGTTGGAGGCTTGCAATTGGTCAAGGATAGGAAATGGATTGCTGTTAAACCGAACCCTGATGCTCTTATAATCAATATTGGTGACTTATTTCAGGTACTTATTACTGTCTCCTACACTATTGACATTGTTTTTAAGTTTGGTCTTCTATGTAGTTGGTTAACATTTAGCTCATGCAACATATGCAGGCATGGAGCAATGGGGTCTACAAGAGTGTTGAGCATCGAGTTGTGACAAACCCGAAAGTAGAAAGGTTCTCTACGGCGTATTTCTTTTGCCCTTCAAATGACACCGTGATAGAGAGTTGCAAAGAGCCCTCTGTTTACAGGAAATTTAGCTTTCGGGAGTACAGACAACAAGTTCGAGATGATGTTCAGAAGCTGGGTTCCAAAATAGGCCTACCCAGGTTTCTCACATATGAAGGAAAAACTACATAATAGTGCATAATTATTATCATGATTATGATTATGGGTATAGTGTTCCAACATCAACTAGGTAATGTCATGTGTGTGAACATGAAGAGAGATCGTTCTAGAGAGAATGAGAGAGAGTGGTTGTGTCAGTGTACCTTCGGTAAGTAGTAAATTAACAGAGACGGTCGGTATGGCAGCTGGTCTCTGCCTGCATGTTTGATGCTGTCTCATTTTGTCTGCTGTCAAGCTACAATATGCAATATACATACCAGAATTTCTATTTACATGTCACTACAACGGAAGCGATTCCCAATCATAGACTGTTATATATATATTTCATATATGCTTCACCCTTTATAAACTAAACATCATTACCATGAATAATATTATTTATGACAACTAATCATTTATATCATAAAGTTTAGGGCAAATTATATAAAACCACCTTGTACTTTGATGTTTTTTTAAAAGACCACCATCTACTTTTAATTGGAACAATTAACCCTCTTATATTAATATATTTCAACAATTAAACATATTTAATAATTTTCAGACAAAAATACCCTTACCCCCAACCCACCACCACTGTAAATATTAGGGTTGGCAAAAACGAGCCAACCCGTCATAAATGAGTCGGGTTGGGTTGGCCTAAACGAGCTGCCAACTCGATTCAACCCGACCCGATCCAACCCGGACCAAAATGAGCCAGCTCGCGGGTCAAACTGGCCAGCTCGCGGGTTGGGTATTTTTCTTTTTTTTTTAATTAAAAAATAATATCAAAACTACAAAACAACCCCCTTTATCATTTCATCTCAGTCACCGATGAAGTGCGTTCTTCGATTATTATGTCTAATGCAACTCCGTATAAAACTTTCATGGTAAATTTTCAAACTAGCTGCAAATACTAACTTCTTTGGCACATATATTTGGTGCTAATTTATAATATATGCTAATATGAACCAGGAATTAGTGTACAACAATGTCCTCCCTGATGATTTTGTTCGTAGAATTAAGCACTCTGACTACAGTTCTATAAGTTAATATACTACTTTTTTCTTAGTTTGCGTTTCTTCTTTAATACCCTCAATCTCTGCTATGTGTAACTAAACTAGAATAATAGGTAAGATTATAACATTTATAGACAGCATGCTTATATTTTATTGTCTGCTAATGAGGAATGCCTAGAATTCATCAATGGGAAAATAACATGTTCAGGAGGAAACTTCAATGTTTTTGAGTCAACTCGCGAACCAACCCTCGAGCCAACCCATTGTCAATATTTCGAGCTAACCAACCCGCGAGCCAACTAGTTGGCATTATTTCGAGCTAACCCGCGAGCTTTTTTTGAGCCAACCCGCGAGCTTTTTCCCGAGCCAACCCTAACCCGGCTCGGGTCGGGCTGAGTTGGATTTTCTGGCTCGTCTCTCTTTTCGAGCCAACCCTAACCCGACTCATTTTTTTCGGGTTGAATGCAGGTTGGGCCGGGTCGAGCCGGGTTGGCCCGTTTTGCCAACCCTGGTATATATGGAGAATACTAGCAACAAGGAAAATGGAGAATCCACTCGTCCATCAACAATAACCGATCGACACCATTTTTGGAAGAAAAGCGTCCAATTCCAAAAAAATGCTACCGGGTGCTACAACAATGGATTTGGTAAGAAATTAAGGCAAAAAATTAAAATATTACTATTTTAATAATTAATTACGAATAGGTGGCAGTTTGAAAACTATTTTCGAATTTATTGCAGTCATTCACGCCCAAATTAGGCGTGACTATTCACGCCTAAGTTAGGCGTGACTCCCCAGGCATTCACGTCTAAATTAGGCATGACTCGTCTGTTGTTGACACGTGGCACAAAAAAATAATAGTTTAACCGTAAAACTTTATAAGGCCATAATTTTTGACTCGAGTATCCGAATGACGTAATTCTTTTTTGATTCCACATAACTTTTCGAGATCTACGCAATGACATCTCATTTGGTATATTTTATCTCTCACAAACACAATTCAAATTTACAACAATGATACTATAAAGATGGCACCAAAGTGGATTAACTCATCTATAAATAAGATAGCACCAAATTCCCTATTAAATACAAAACGCAATCAACTCCTATTAAATCCAAAACGCAATCAACTCCTATAACATTAAATTCAAAATTCAAATAACCACCGGCAAATTTATTTGAATTGGCGACAATCTGTAACCAACTCATAAAATTACACAATCAGCTCCTATTAAATACAAAACACAATCAACTCCTATTAAATACAAAATGCAATCAACTTATTGGAGGTTATTTGAATTTTGAATTTAATGTTATAGTACCATTATTGGGCGTGAATGAGTGCAATATATTCGTAATTAGATTCAAAACGGCAACTTATTCGTAATTATTTATTAAAAAAGAAATATTTTAATTTTTTTGCCTCTACCAAGTGTTTGAAAAAAATAGTGTACAAGGTTATTTATTTAATTATTAAAATATATACAAATTTATATAATATTACTTGGCGCTGAGTTAGTGGGGTTGGATATGTGTTCGATTCCCGCTGAATGCATTCTTGGGGAGGGGGCTGAACCTTTAGCCATCACTGTTCCCCCGCACTCCGGATTAGTCCCATAGCCGGCTCAAAGAGTCGAAGCTCGTGGGGATACCGGAGGGAGCCAACTCGTCTCAAAGAGATAATTAGGGTTGGGTAACTCCAAAAAAATTTATATAATATTCTACCAAGTGTTTAGAATATTTATTTAATTATTTTCTTTATTAATACAAATTTTTCAAATTGATTTTTGAGTTTAAATCACAAATTAAATCTTTATTTTTTTTTTATTAATAATAATTTTTAATTTTTTTTTTATAATACACTATATAATACAATTATTGCAAATTTGAATTGTGTTTGTGAGAGATAAAATATATCAAAATAAGATGTCATTGCATAGATCTCGAAATGTTATGTGGAATCAAAAAAGAATTACCTCATTCGGATACCCGAGTCAAAACTTATGGCTTTTCAAAGTTTTACGGTTCGTAAGTTGACTTTTTTTGCCACATGTCAACACCAGATGATTCACGCCTAAATTAGGCGTGAATGCCTTGAAAGTCACGCCTAATTTGGACATGAAGGATTGCAATAAATTCGAAAATAGTTTCTAAACTATAACCTATTCGTGATTAATTATGAAAATAGTAATATTTTAATTTTTTTGCCAAGAAATTAAGGTGGACCATCCTAAAACAGATTTCATCGGTTCCCTTCTCTGATTCTCTGATGCCTAGACACTCTTTGGATCCCACTCATAAACATGTTTTTATTTAGTTGCAATTTTAGAAATTCTTGAACAAAATTGACCAAATTGATCCAAACACTACGTTTCCCATGTTAGATGAATAATTGGCTAATGTATTAGGCTGGCTCGAGACTAACAATTGTTTGGGGCTTAACACTTTAAAGAGAGCCCGTTAAGAGTAGATGCGTCATATACGCGAGTAACACGACGAGTATATATTGGATTGGGGATAAGGATATTTTTGTCTGAAAATTATTAAATATGTTTAATTGTTGAAATGTTATAGTATAAGGGGGTTAATTGTTCCAATTGAAAATAGAAGGTGGTCTTTTAAAAAAACACCTAAGTACAAGGTAGTTTTATATAATTTACCCTAAAGTTTATTATAATAAGTTATTATTAGTATAATTATTCTTACTTTAATTTATAACATTTTTTTATTTAGTAATATTTATAAAAGAAGGTAAACATAGTTCAGAACATCCCAATCGTTAAAGTACACCGAGGTATATTGTGAATGTAGAGAATTAATAATATTTGGATGTTCGACTTTTTGGGTGAGGAGGGAGCACTCACTATTCACTAATGTATACCCTTCCTCAATTCATTCACTATATCAGAATCAAACATCAAACATGTCTTCCCAACTCAAAAAAAAAAAAGTCGGGGGAGAAGGATTGGGCTTAATATAAAGACCACTTAAATCATGCTCAACAAGATAGGTCGTGGCCCATGATCTGAACATAGATAGGCCCAGGCCCTGGCCCAGTGTGCTCAAAATTTTCTAACCATTCAATATTTCAAACTACTCCATCTAGGAGAGGTGGCAGATCCAATGATATCGCATTCGAACTGAGCGTCACAAAATTGTTTTACTAGTGCTCAGGCTCTAGAACTCGGTTAAAATCACTTAGGCACACCTAGCAGGCAAATTTAGTAGGGATATGTTGTGGCAATACGATCAGTAAATTCTATATAAGATTTATTGCAATTTGCAAATAACAGATTTAGACCATTGAATTTAAATATTATACTAAGCATAGAATGGCAAGTATCTTTCGTCTAGCTAGTCTCTTAAAAAGCTCTATGGGATATTGCTGTGGCCGGATGACGGGGCATAAAAACCGGTGAATGTGAAACTCTTGCCGTTGGATGACGTACTATCTAATACGTATGCGTGCAGTTTGCTTTGGTCTAACAATGAATTAACTTGTTACACTTTTACAGACCTCCAATTACTTCCAACATCACTCGTTGTTTTGTGTTGCTGCACCAAGACTCGTGCCATATGCTCCAGTCGAAAATTGGCCCCAACAAGTCCCCAACTCAAAGACTCTCCAGCACCACGTTGTTGGGAACTCGGTTCCCTCAACTTCGGTTAAGCAGATTTTTTGCCAGAAGTCAATCAACAAGATTTGGATCTTGAATCTTAGCAATTACCTCGGCCTGAACTTCACTAGGTCGGGCAGCGCAACAGAAAATAAAAAACGTAAATAGAAGAGAAGGAGAACACAAACAGATTTTAACGTGGGAAAACCTTATCCAACGAAGAAGTAAAAAAACCACATGACCTTGTCCAAATCAAACGTCCACTATGAAAATAATGGATACAAAGAATCAAGATTCACCAAAGTGGTGGTTAACTCAACCTCTCTAACAATGGTGATAATCAAACTTCCCCTAGAGATGTTTCACTCAAATTCTCTCTAGAGATCTCTCAAAATACAAACCTCAAAGCTTTGCTCACAAATCTCTCAAATATTTTTTCTCTAATTCTATTCTTCTTCTTTTTTTTTTTTTTTTGGATTACATAAAGTTTAGGTGGGGGTAGGCATCGGTATCCCACCAGGGACAGGGAAGACCCCCCAACCTCTTTGAGGATTTCCGGGAGAGATTACATATCACCCACCAAAGAGGGCCTCACATCGGCCAGCGGGGTTCGAACCACCATCCTTTTGGGACAGCAGTGAACCCGTAACCAACTGTGCCAAACCTCTTTGGCTCTATTCTATTCTCTAAGCTAGTTTCCACCCACAACTAATGGATATACAGAGAATGTGAAATCTACGGTTTAAGTTTTAGAATTTTTAAGAAATCTCTCAATGGACTTGAGCTTAGCTTTGAAGAATGAAGCCCAACACGCATTACTGCTATGAATATGATTGCCTTGTAAATACCCATTTATTTTCCAGGGTAGGATGTCTTTTCACATTGCATTTGCATATAAAGGAATCTACGCTAGTTTTATTTTCACATTCCTTAGCATCCATGATGTAGGCACCTAAGACAGCGGCTGTTTTGCATATTTATTAAAAAATTATGGTTTAAACAACTTTCCATTAAGTACACGGAACGTAATGTGAAGGGTTTCTCTTGCCTTCCTATGGAGCAGTTAATCAGAGCCTCAAATATAAGGGTTCATCAGTAATGTTAGCTGCACTGCACGCACGTTGAGTTGCTTCACCTAACTGGGAGTAATGAACTAGGCTACTTTTGCCGCTACCTCAGATTAGTTGTTTGCTCAGCAGCACCTCAAAATTAAACTTGATCTCCTATTATGGTTGATGACACAATCACACAATTAATGCTAACTCCTGCGAGTGGTAAACATCATTTCATTTGTCATGTTAAGGATGTTGTTTGTTAGGGAAAGCAGATCTGACGTTCACATGCCTTCCATTTATTTCGACTAAAGTGCACTTGCATATGAAATTTGCCAAATAAACCTAGTTCTGTAAGTCTATTGCCAAAAAAAGCATTATTTTTTACAGAAAAGAAAAAATTCTTTGAGCACGCACGCGTTGGTTTCTACTTTCTACTGCCTAGGTAAACACTATTATAGCTTGTAGGTACCTCTCATGGTATTGGCTTTCTTTCTTGGCTTTCCTCCTTTTCGCTCTGCTCACATGAAAAGTCACATATGCTCATAACAAAAGGTTCACTTGTTACTAGATGATTGAATGTTAAGAGCAAAACAAAACAGTAAGATACGGTCGACCAATATAAGGATCGAGGATCATAGAGAGTAAAAAGTGACTTTATGATCCTCCACTAAGCCCTGCAATTACACAAATTGTTGTCTTCCATTGATATAAAAAAGGAAGATTCCTTCCCCTCTGTCATAGTACAGTATGTCTTTGTATTTATCTCTTGTAGTCATCGCGCCAAAGGGGTGATGCCGAAAAGCAGATTTTAACTGATTCTGACATCCAGGTGGGCGAAAATTTGGTTAGCTTTTTGCAACTCCGGCAGTTTTAATTTGTCTTCTTCGAACTTCTTGTTTCTCTACGTTTTGCTCCAATTCTGGGACTCTAAGTTAATTTAACTCCAGAATGCATTTTGTGTAACCTTATAGTTTTATGAGGGTGGCTCAAGTCACTGCTTCCAATCACCCCCATATTCGTCTGCATTTTGCTTATTGATTGTAAGAGTGAAGTATATCAGCAATATTGTTCCCATGCTTGACCTGTTTCAGAATATCAACAGAGCAATTAATGGAAAATGACAAAGTAGAAACCAAAGTAGTATTAATATTCATATATAAGAGCCGAATCTCACAAGGTGGCGAAGAAAAGGAGAACCCTTTTAGGATCAAAGGCCCATGTATAAGATCGTCTGAAACTATTTCTCCGAGTTATACATTTGCTTTCGGTGGTGGTGCCCTTGATGTTGCTTGCTGTGATAGTAATCTGATGATGGACGTGTGGGTTGATGGAATGATCCGTGGACCCTACTGCCATCGCCGCTGGCTTTTCGGGCGTGCAAGGCCCTACCAGAGTTGCAACAGTTCAATGATCGATATCCATAAACATAATGAATATATAAGGATTTGTTAGCTCACTAGGTAGTTCAAACTGTTGATTATGCCAATGCTTGTGGACCAAAATATGGTGCATGTGTAGTTGATAATATACAATTTTCACCATCCTCGTAAAATCATAATATACAATTTTACTTATCACGTTGTGATTGTTTAAATGTCAGTTCAAAACCTATTGATAGTGGACCTGTGATGATATTGATAATGACAATTATAATAATAACACACATCATAATCCAGCAAGGTGAGACCTTATAATCAGGACACACCCACCTTGTCCTGACACAGGTTACAGGTTGGTAATGAAATATTTTATACACCATTTATAGACATAAACGAAGGTATGGAGGTGACATTTTAATTTGTAACAAGTGTCCTACATATAGATTTATATATCAATGCACCCGGTCCACAAGGGTCAAATAATGGAAACAAACAAACGTGTACAAAATTATATTAAACTTCTCTTCAACTAAAGAGATCCAGGAATAGAAAAGAAATACAAATCCAAAGTAGTGGAATCGTTCAGTATCAATTTGTCAGATTAATAAAAAGAAAAGAAAAATCAGTTTTTATAATATTTATATTAGAATATAATTATAAGTTGAATGAGATTGCGTTTTTGCAAGGGCAATGGTACCTTTTGGTGAGCATATAGCAGGGACGGTATCCTTATCATGAAGTGTAGCATTGCCACTCACCTTCCTGTCGCCCCCACGCTGAGATCCTTTCCTGGAAAGGCTCCTCTGCAACTTTTTTTGGGTTAAAATAATAACATATTAAAATAAATTAAATTTAAAAGTAAAACTATTGATTGTAGCCAAAAAAAAAAAAAAAGAAGCAACTTGGTGAGTTAGTCCGTTCCATACGCAAATTTTGAGAGGAAAGTAAAGTAAGAGGGGAAAGGATTAGATCCACGATGTAAGAGATTTGGATGGATGTACTTTTTTAGGGTCTCATATTTTGCATCTCTTGATAATAGGACAAAATGGGAAGGAAGCAAGGTCTTTTTTCTTTTTCTATTTTTTTTAATCTATTTCAAATCTTATTTACATGCATCTTTTTTTTTTTCGAATTGATAAAACCAAACAAAGAAAGAAAAGCAAGAGGTCCAAAAGGGATAAGTTATACCACTCTCCAACACAATACATTAGATTATAATATCAAGAGTGGAGAAAAATGATGAAATTAAATTGATACCAAAAGGTTCAAGACTTATCATTGAACCACTTTTATTTATTCGACGTAATATTTATAATTTATGATTTGGAATATATTATTTTAAAATCTAATTAAACCTGATTAAATTACTAACCCGATACTTCAACCGAATCGGCTGAGTTTGAAAACACAGAGAATAACCTATCTCCGTACAATGCGTTAAATTAAATATCCTGCTATAACTTAAACGTTTCATTAATCAGTTAAAAATTATAAGTAACGGCTAAACAAAGCATTGGGGTACAAAATAGTCAAAATGGTTAAATTAAATAGCCTGCTTAAATTAAAACGTTTCAATAATCTGTTTAAAATTACGGAAATTATTTTCTTATCTTGTTAAAAAAAATCTTTTACAAAAAAAAAACTATATAATAAGGGTAATATATAATTATAATATCAAAGTTACTTTTTTTTTTCTCTCTTCAGACATTATTGTCTGACGTGATGATGAGAGAAAAAATAATTTTACTATTATAAATATATACTACCCTTAATACATAATTTTTTTTATTTTTTTTGCATGAAATAAAAATATAGCTTAATCCTAAACAAAAAGGAATGTTAATCCTTGAAAAAGACATTTGCTATAATGGCCGCAAAAATTTAATGGATAGTAGTAACGTGTTATCATGTTATTGTTTTCGCTCTCATTTCAATTAGTAATAATGCCACCGTATATTATTATGAAGCTTAGCATTAAAAATGTCCTAATAACTTTCACAGCTTTAAATTATGGATGATAAATTCCATCGAGATACGGAACACTGACTCTTTGCTCTGTGAGTTAAGCTTCACAAAAAAATTCAAAAAAAAAAAAAAATAACCATTGAAAATCAAATACAATTAATTTGAGAGAGAGAGAGAGAGAGAGAGAGAGAGAAATTTACCGTAATTCTCGAATTTGCATTGGTGCTATCTTTGTTGATGCCGGAAGAGAAGGCATCGATATCAATCACAAAGCTATCGGTTTTCTCGGCTGTATACTGAAATGCGTTTATGTGATCCGAAACCGAAATTCTCTGGGTGCCCATGTTCTTCTGTTCCGATTCCAAAGCCTCTACAGACCCACATGAAGAAGACAAATCCTGCAAAAACCATATCCAACAAATTAACCCAGAACACAACCGTGACTGCGAGAGCCTAAAAATATTGAAATTGAAGTGTCTGAAAATTGACAATGGAACAGTTACAATAAAGAAAGTGAGAGAACAAGGAAAACGAATTCTTACCAACTTGAGAATTTCTGCCATTTTAATCACTTTCCAGGACAAGAAAAAAAAAATATAGCACTGATTAGTTGAAGCTTGCGTATCGAATGGGTAACACAGCACAGGATATACCTGATTGAACCCCGATTAGTCAAAACCATATATATTAAAAAGAAACAAAAAAAGAAAAGAAAAAGGAAATATAACACAACACGAATTATCAAACACCAAATGGAACATAATTTATCTCGTAAACGATAAGCCAGAGTTTTTCTTTTCTCTTCGTCAACTTCCTTACTCAATTACCCAATTGGTTTGGAAAACCAAACACCCGATAATTGAAGAAGAAAAAGAAAACCCACTTACAGATGGTAAAGTTCTCTTCTTCTTGGTCTTCAAGAATCGATCTTTTTATCTTCGGCGAGCTGTTGCCGATGGAAATCAAAAAGATGGTTGGAAAGGACACGGAGAGGAGAAAATAAGAAGCAGTGGCGAGAGTTGTTTCTTTGTGGATGAAGATAATATTAATGGGTAGAGATAATAAAGTGAGTTGTAACTAGTCTGTGTTTTGTCTCTGCTTTGAATTTCTTGGAAGGGAGAAAGAAACAGAGTCAGAGAGGAACTGCTGATGAAATTGGTGGAGAGAGTGTAAAGAGAAACAGAGGGAGAGCCAGAAACCTATCAGATTGACACCTTTTTAATGTTCCCAGCTTTCGCTGTTTACTATATATAATTTCAGATTCCTTTTTTCTCTAGCCTTCATAATAATAATAATAATAACAATAGTTTAATGTTTAATTTTTATCATTTATCACAGATATTTTAATTAAGATTTTTATATATTTATATTCTAATTTTGTAATTTCATACTAACTTGAAGTAACATAAAATATAAGTTTCATGTTTACTGCATTTTTAATGCTATCCCATTGGCCATGAATTTATCCTCTCTGCCCTTAGAAATCAAAGGAGGGTGACCCGTTGGCCGTGGCAATTTGCATTTATCCTTAATCCCCCTATTTTATCTCTATTATTATTTTATTAGTATTTTGCAATTATCCTTTATGGGGTTGAACAATGTTTCTTAGGCTAATTTTAAAAAATCTATCACTGCCTTATATTTTTCCGGTGAATAATTACAAGATTTTATAAAAGTTAGGTCGAAAAAAATGAATTTGTCATGTTATAGAAATTCATTTTTTTATATTTTTTTTTTTTTCAAAAAATGCGAGCCTCACAATTGTGTATATGTCGGAAACTCTTTTTTTTTTCCTGCCGCATGATGAATGCAAACCTCATAATTATAACCTTCTTTTATAGTTCAAATTCAGTACCGATAAATTATATCTATTTTAATCACGAAAGAGAGGTTATATTTATAATATTTTTTTTTTAGAATATCTTAGGATTATTGGATTAAAATCAAATTCACAATTACAAAATTATATCAGAGCTATTGAATTAATTTTAATCAAACAACCATAAAAATAGATACACGAGGTTGTAAAAAAAAATAAGTTGTAAGTATAATATCTCCTTCCATCTATGTAATAAAATCTCATTCAAAATTTATTCCATTAATGCAGAAATTTAGTCTCTTTTTCAGGCGATAATCGAGAATTAAAGTTTGACAATCCTGCTAACATATTTGTAATTCAATTAATACGATTTAAGTTTTTTATTTATTTATGTAAAATACCAATTTAAGTTTTTGAAAGTGAGTTATGTAAGGTTATTAATATCAAAAGTTTAATCTTTTTTGTGTCATTTTTTCTTTTTCTACTCTCGTGCTTGCCTCTCCAACATAATTAAAACAATTTCAAAAGCTTTCGTGTAATTAGGGGGCGTTTGGTTCAGGAATTTTTTTTGAAATAGTAGGGAAATGAGATAGATAGAGAAATGATTGGAAAGATAGATAAAGTGAGATAGGTAGAAAAATGTAAAAAAAAGTTGTTTGGTGGGAAAAAATTTTACTGGGAAAATTAGTTAACTTTATAAAATCAACAGTGTATTAAAAGCCAGATAACCGATTTTCCGAAAAATCCCACCTTCAAATTAGGTTTCTAAACAGTGCGGATATCTATGTTTCTCATAAATCCAGACAAATTGGATAGATGGGTTTTTGGTAAAAAAACGTTGAAACAAACATAGTATTTCTAAAAGTCATACTTGAGAAAGATAGATATCCGCTGAAAATCTCTCAACCAAACGCCATGGTATTTGGACTTTTAATTACAAAGTGCTAATTTCAAAATTATCATTAGATTTAAATTTACATTATATTTTATTTCCGAGGATTTTGTTGGTTCCGTCCGTTGACTTTAGCTTCTGCAATATTCGTGGTATGACTCTGAAATAGACTCGCAATTCATTGGTCCTGAAACTTTATATATTGTGATGAAAACATTGAGAATAACAAGTTGTGGGTAATAATTCTGAGAAAAACCGTAACATCAGATTTGTATTGGTGGACGACATGACAACAACAGAGAAAAGTTATCCAAATAAATTTATTTTTGACTTTCGACTTTTTTAATTTTTTATTTATTTTACATAGTGAAACTAAACCTTTCTTTGGAATATTCATGAATCAATAAAATAATATGTCTTAATCCTTAATCAATTTGCGTTTATTTATTGTTGATTCCGCCCAATCCCTTTACCCGATTCTGTTGCAAAATAGAAAATAATCAAATAAAATTTCATTTTTTCATTTTTTTTTTGTGGGGGGTGGGTGGGTTTAAGCCTTTTCATTTTGGGTAAAATGATACGCATTGGAACATACCATTAATCAAAGACTTCTGGAATATATCATAATGATCGAACGTATAAATTTGCACAAGATGGATTCTTTTAATATCACGTAGTGGGAAAAAAAATTTGTGCTCCGGTACCACTCAATGATCTGGTATTCCCTCTTACAACGTCAATTTTTTCTTTTTATTTTTATCTTTGTTATTTTCTCTCTTATCGAGCTTTATCTTTTCATTTACACTTAGGGACCACCTAAGAAATGGTGGTTCTGGACCACAATAAATAATCTCCACGTAGTGGTTATAACATAACTATCATCATTGTTTAAACATCTTTAGGGGACGTTTGGTAGAGGAAAAAATTTTTTACCCGAAAATCTCAATTTTTTAAAATATAATTTTTACATCTCGTTTATGATAATATCTGAAAATTAAAAAATTTAAAAAAAATTATATTTTTCGAAAATCCTAAAAAATGACTCGTAAGAAACGGCCCCTTTAGAGTCGCCTTTTGAGAAAAGAAAAGGGAACATATTGAAATCAGATTCAAGAATTATCTATTTGGTGATTTGGTCAATGAGGACATAGTTTCAGTTTTTTATTTTGCTGGCACGCACTAGGCATATGCAATTGATCTCCTTACTTACTCTACGAGTTACTCTTGCCCAGGGGTGTAAATATTTGTGTAAAATATTTTATATCCTAGCTAATCTGTTAATTTTATATAGACCCGTATTATAAGTTTGATTTAATCTATATTTAAAAATAATATGATATAGAATGTTATACAGGTTTATAGACCCGATATATAAAAGAAAGGGTTTTATTAATCTCATGTTAAAGGAGATAAGTTATCTCATGTCATAGATATAAATTTGTGGGTTCCACTATTTGAAAAATAAAAAGAAAAGAAAAGAAAAGAAAAAAGTGGCACAGTTATCGAAAGATGTGTAGGAGAGAAAGTTATCACATGTAACATAAGAGTAGTTTTTCCCTAAAAGAAAACATATGACTTACTTTTTAAATAATTTTTTTTTTAGACCCGAATATATTTTATTTGACTATATGTCATAAGTCGAATCTAATCTGATACAAGTCAAGCCGTAAGCTCTATTAGGCTGGCCGCCCCATTTACACTCTAGTCTCAACACACTTTTATAATTGTATAACCTGTTATATTCATATTAAATTTTACCAATTCAATTATTTAATCAAAAGTTCTCATGCAATAGTTTAAATCTATTACATTTTATATATAATCTAAAATTATTAATACTTCAACAAACTATTCTGTTTCAAAGTATACTATTTTATCTTTCTTTTTTTAAAAAGTACTATATTATTTAAGGGGAAAGATATGTTTACAAATTTTTTTTTTAAATTTTACAAATTATATTATGTACTCTGGGAAGTACATAGTGTAACCTAGTGTACTTCTGGAAGTATATAGTATAATTTGTAAGAGTCTGTAAATATAACCCTTTCCATTTTTTAAATATAGTAAATATAAACTATTAAATGGGTTCAATGTAGATAAGTTATCAATGTCAGTGTTTTAAAACTTCACCCCACCCCCCGGGTCAACCCTGACCCCTCCCCTTTGAGGGTTGGGGTCACAAGTTGGACCATATATGCACATCGACTCCCCTGACCCCCAAAACCCAGCCGGGTTTCAGTGACTCCCGAGTCAGAGGGGTCGAAGGGGGTCATTGCATGTTTTCTTTTTTAAAAAAAAAATTCCATGAAACAACATCGTTTTATTAAAAAAATAAAATAAAAATGCTTGCAAACCTAAAACTTATCGTTCTATTCTTTTCAAGCAACCTAGACGTCTTCAATCTTCACCTCGCTGCCATAAATCTTCTAGAAAAGGTAAAAATTTACCCATTCAAATGAAATCTCCATGGTCGTCGATGAAAAACAAAACTATTTTTACTTCCTTTAAATTTTTCTTTGTTAGAGACCTTCTCAAAAGAGGCAAAACCGGATCAGCATAATGATCCCATTAACTTGTGGTTGTAATTGGTAAATTATATTAAGTATATTTTGAATCTTTGATCATAGGTGGTTTATTTTTTAATATTTTTATATAGAATATATATATTTATATCTTTTTAGTATATAAAACAGGGTCAGCATAGTGACCTCGTGACCCCCCGTTGAACCCGTGACCCCATGACCCCTCACTTCGGCCGGGTCGATGGTCGAGCCGGGTTTTTAAACACTGATCAATGTGAATGAGTTATCTACATTAATTATCTACATTGAGTCCAAAATAACATAGTAGCCGAATAAGATCACATCATTCTATTTTATAAAATATTTATTCAATGATTTAAGTGTGTAAAACTTATTTTAGAATGAGTGAATTCCTTTTCATATAATTTGACAGTTAGATTAGTAAAAGAAAAAACTTTTGCGAGAAGATATTAAATACAGGATTATTCCACATCATTATCAAATGAGGGAGTGGATCCTTTCGTGCACAGACGGAACTAGCGAGTGGCTAACAATGGCGGTTTGAGGAGGCTCTCAGCTTAGTTAGAAGAGAAAAACAAGTGGGTAGTGGGGGTTTTTTGGGTTTTTCATTCATTTGTTGAGGGAGAGAAGACAAATTTCGATTTCTGTGGAAAATTAAAGAACCCGTTGGCGCAGGTGGTTTTGTTGGAACAAAAAAAGAAACGTGATTTTAGGTTGTAAGAATGAGGATTTCCCAGTTTCAGCTAGTTTCATTTTAGTTCAGTTCAGAGCTACAAAACCTTGTAAGAGCAAACAACAACGGAGGTTACACACCTTTTTTTTTTAATCTGTCTGTAGTATAAGAATCTTGTGGTGGTGGCTGGTTTTCTATGCTAAGGAGGAAGAAGCTTGTAGTACCTTGAGAAGCAAAAGCAGAAATTTTAGGGAAGATGGATATGGTTGTGGCTCA